ATTTAAACTATGTACATATATAAATGGATCCTCTCGATAAATCTATTTCTCTAGAAGAAGTTCTAGATAGCTTTTTAGAGAATTAAATTTAACGAAGAGTTGTGATCATGTTACTCAAAGCATTCAAATTGCAATTTCTTTTTTTTGACAATTTATCCTGTCGGAACCACAAATATTTTTTTGATAGCGTTTGGCATCTTCTATTACGAAACAGAACTCATTTGAAATGTTTTACAATATTGGTAATATGTAACTCATAGCTGGTAATTCGTAAAAATCTGGAATTTTAACAATTTGTAGAAATTAATAAATGGTTTATTTTCTTGAAACAAAAACATTTTTGCACCTCTCCTTTTTTCAATTTTGGGTTTCTTATATTGCAGATCCGTAAGCTTGAATCCCAAAAGTAGTCAATTATTTCATTTACATAAATATTGTAATTTTGTTATTTTAGTGGAATTCTTTGTATTGGTCAAACCAGGTAGCAAATTCCTGGTTTGATTCAAATCAATTTTTTCTGTGTCTTGTGTCTTAAAATAATCTTTGTTTTCTAAATTTTATTTATTCCTTTAAGGATTTCTGAGGTAATCAAAGTTATGATAATTGTTTTTGATTTGTTTTCTGTTTTTTTTCTTTTAACTTATCCATAAAGTGACAACAATTCATAAAAAAAGAAATTTAAAATAAAAATTACATAAAAAGAATTGAACGTGATCACAATTAAATTACCAATGTTTAACTATTAATATAAAAAGGTGTTCATGTGTGTGGTGTTGTGTACTTATGTAAGAATACAATTTGCTATTAAAATACCTAATCATAATTTTACAATTTTATATTATTCAACACTAGTTCGTTGTGTGTATGTGTTGTGTACATGTTGTTACGTTTTCTATATTACGAACGCTGTTCATGCGTTCAAAAACTCTTACAATCAAAGAATGTCATATTTTGAAAGTTACAATGATGGTACCGTTTGATTTTTTGCTTCTTAGTGTTTTTTTTAACCATGATAGGTCGTTATGATCATTATTGTCTTTTTTTTTTTAATGATAGTTTACCAAAACTGGCAGAAAGTGTGTGTAATTGAAATGAATTTTAACAAGATTTTTTTGTTATGTAAGGTTATGAAAGAAATTTCATTTTAAATTAGTTTTTAATTTACGGTAAGAAATTTTTTATTGAAAAAAATATTTTTATTGTCATTTTATTGCTCCTATGTTGGCTATGTTCAATTCTAATTGAAAATATAAATTTTGTTATACACATGTAAACGTACGACGCATGGAAGTTTCAATTGTTTGAATTAAGTGAAACAATTGGTGGTTGTAGACAGATTACTTAATATTATCTGATATTGGATGCATCGCTAGTACTTCGTTTCTGATGGTACTGACCTGAAGCAACTCTATAAATATTGATAAAAAATTAGCTTAATTAGCTAAGTTATAATTAAATTCAAACCAAGAGAATTAAATTATTTGCCAACCAGAAGAGTATTTCTGAAAATGCAGCGTCTTTTAGGTTCCCATTAAAAAAAAAAAACATGAAAAAGTCAGAAACTAATCCCATATCCCACTTTTTTTATAATAAATTTCAGAGAGCATAAAATTTCATATACCATCTTTGTAAAAATAAATTTGCAAATTATTTAGCAACAGCTTGATTTTTTTATTTTGTGCAAAAAATATTATTAATTGAATATTCTGTTCATAGTTTGATACTCATAAATTGCCTAGAAAACCTATTCCATTTCTTTTTTCATCAAATTTCTTATTGTGTTTTTACATTGCCATTTTCTTTTTTTTTTCGAATTCAATGTTTATTGATTTCCTCTTTCCATAAACAACTTTACTTTTAATTATGCGCAAAAACAAAACTTTTGGATTATTTTAAATCTTTTTTTTTTTGTTTTTCTTTTTACATTTACGCATGTTATGTACGTGCCATAAGCCTACAAACAACTCAAGAATAAACTAATGAAATTTTAGAGTTGAATTATTAAATAAGAATGAAATCATACATAATGACTTTTTGGAATTAATTTCAAAAAGAAAACATTCTTAAATGTACTCTTATCTTTATTAAGAAGAAAACTTTTTAGTTTGGTAAATGAAATTATTAGACATAAAATAAAATAAAAACAGTTTGATTATATAAGATTTTAAGTGAAGATTACCAAATTTGATAAAATTTTAAAGTTCTTGATAAATGATAACTTTGAACTTTTGTTTTTATGATTTGGAAATTAAAAATTCAATTTGGTTTTAATAAAATTTTAATTTGATTTAAAACAATTAATAAAGTGTAGTTTTATGGGTTTGACTATTCCAATTGGTTTCACAAGAATTACTTTAGATCTGCTAATTGCTTTGTGACATGTAATTGCCTTGTGACATGTAGTAGTGTAAGATTTTGTATGTATATACTTAGTAAATAAAACTTTTACTTGTTGATACAAGAAGAGAAGGAGGCAGGGGATTAAATCACACGATGCTAAAATTTAAATCTGAAATAAATAGTTAATACAGATCTATTAAACAACCAAAACTTCTTTATATTTAAAAATAATAAATTATTTGCTCAGATATTCAGACAAAGCATATAGAAGGACAGTTTAGCAGTTTACAATTAGCGGAACAATACGATCCTTTTCAATGAGAAGACAAATAATTGCTTGAATTACGAAAAATATTTGAAAATTTAAATGAAAATTTAACAGATGACCGTGATATTTCTAAAAACATTGCAAGTAATTCAAATTTGTAATAATAATTTAAAAATTTGTTATAAATTAGGATGTAGGACCAATTATTTATTTTCACACAACTAATTTTTATAAAAAAAAATCTTTTAAGTTCAATTACGAGTCTGCCATATCAAAATGATAAAATATTATAGATACTCTAATATAGTCTGGTATCACTATTATGTTGACAAACATTTTTCACAATGTTATAAATTACATCAAAATTAATAACTACTATGACTTTGTTGCTTCTTTTCTTATTTTTACTACAAAAAATACAAATTGTAAATTAATTTGCAAAATAAATTCCCTTTATTATCGATTACTTTCATTTATTTTTTCAATTATTATTTTAAATTGATTTTTTTAATATTTTACTTTATTATCTTTTTGAATAAAATTTATTTTATTACAATATTATAGAGTTGAATACAAAAAAATATAGTAAAAATTAAATTGTTAATAATTTATTTCCATTTTTTAAGTATTCAACAAATCCATAGTACTTTTACAACGTAGTCAGGCACTCAATAGGTTCTCCATTGGAGAAACTTTTTTTTTCAAAATTCAAATAGACTTGGCGCATTTTAAGTTACAAAAAAAAAAATGTCTACAGAGTAATAAAATAGATAGAAAAGATTTACATATGTTTAGTAACGTGTTCATCGTTGTATCATATATAGTTAAACAACACACCAGAGATTCTTTCAAATGGTTATGATAATTTGGTTTTTTGTTAAATTAATATTCAAAGCGACACCCTTTTAATAGGAAATTGAAGAAGAAAATAAAAAAAAAAGGCACACAAAATACTTTGGTTTTTTTCTTTTTTATTATTTTAAATATCATGGTCACTATAAAATATTCGATACGCCTTGTAGAGGCAGGTTATTTGAAAAACAAAAAAAAAAAAAACAATGATTTCAAATAAATAAATTGAATTTTATATATTATTTCTTTGAGTTTAAAAACAGAATTTATAATAAATAAATCTAAGAGAAAATTTATAGGGCTTTTTTTATTACAATTTTAAAATTTACATACATATAGGTATATAAATATGTAAAGAGCGTAAATGTCCACTTTATATTTTGCACGTATTTTCATTCGCATATACGCTTTAGCTTTCGACATTAAAACCTAGTTTGAGTTCGAAGAAAATTATGCTTTTATAATGTTAAAATTTTATTGAACAGAATCAAAATATTGAAAAATTTTTGTGTGTAAATTGAAATTTTTTTAAAATTAAAGTCACTGATTAATAGTAAATATTAATTTAATCACCTTGTGATAGTTTTACAGTAATGCGCCCTTAATGTTCCAGAAGATCAAAAACTTATACGAACCCTATATTAAACAAATTTAAAACTATTTTGCAAATTATTCGAAAATCTTACTAGATTCATATTCTTGGTGATTTTTAAATAAATACATAATTCCAATAAGTAAAATTTTATTATTAATGAAATTTTTTTTTATATTAATTAAAAATTTATTTCAATTTTTTTGGCTATTTACCTACGCTGAATAAAAATGAATTAATTATAAATTGTTTAATTTTTTTCAAATTGCTTTGAACATTTTGAAAAATTCTTAATCAAGTTTCTTCTCCATAAGCCCTCGATATTAATATAAGAGATATAATTTGATCGGACAAAAAGAACAGATTCTTTTATGAGAAGTTCTAATTTATACTTACATATGTATGTATTTGTGAATAAATGTAATTTTTGAATTGCCCTTTAATTACATACCATTTAAACTTAATTAAAAAGGTTTAACATTTGCTCGACATAATTATAATTTGCAATAATATTTAAAAAATATCAAAAGTGATAAACAATGTATAAAAATAATCATAACTAATGTTGAATTCTTAATTGAAAATTCAGAGTTTTTTCATTCATGAAAATGTTTTTAATTGAAATTTATTATAGAATGTATAAAATCTTAAAGAAGAAATCACGTTCGCCTAAATGTATGCAAAATTCTATTTAAATAATTGTATTTTAAAATTTTTACGATAATAATAATTACGATAAAGCCATTATTGAAAAATTTGCTGGGTTCCTGAACATATGCAAAATTTTAAGTGTAAATTTTTACTTCAAACTCTTATTAACTAGCTATATTAAAAAAATAAAAATTTTAAAAATAATTAAAAAAATCTCAAACCATTAAATTTTTTTCTTCCATAAAAACTTTAATTTCTAACATAAAAAACTTAATTTTATCACACGATACACAATAATTGATCATTTTAGAAACATAAAACAAATTTAACTTAATTCTATATTGAAATTACATTGTAAAATTATTGATATGCATAATTGTATCTTTTGTATTTTGAATGTCCTGTGAATGCACTAATAAAATAAAATACTGCATTGATCATTGAAACTATAGCACATGCCATTGTTACATTATATTGCTTCTTGCCACTATAATTTTGTGTTTCTGACATTACCATTGATGATACAATTAAATGTAAAACACCAGCATGAATATTATATAATATTTCCTAAAAAATTCAAATAAGATAAGAAATTATTGAATTTCATAAAAAATATGTATGTATTTATTCAATGATATCATTATATAACAGGATGGTAAAATTAAAGTAGAGATAAAATTGAATCAATTTAATGAAAAATAAAATTTAGATTCTTAAACGCCTAGACAACTTTTGAATCTCTACTGAACTCAATTAACTAATTGTGTGAATTTGGCAAAATTATTTTACATCTTATCAAAATATAAAACAAAAATATTGAATTAGCAGATTTTTTAGTTCAATGCTCTTATAGTACAATAAACAGAAAATCTTATCTAAAATTCAAATAAACAAAATCTTATGGCAGAAGCAAAAGCTTTCCAAAAGCAAAACAAAAATAAAATTATTTGGTTTTTGTTTTTGGAAAATTTTTTTTTATAATTGAATTTTAATTACCTAAAAAACTCACGTGCGCATGTTATAAAAATTTAAATTGAAAAATTGTGCTTCTTTTAAAGAACATTTTCATTAACGTTGATGGGAGCTACGAGTTACATTAATGGAAGCAAAATTTTAAGTGGAAGTTGGAGCTTTGGATTCCTACAGAAGCTGTTTCGACTAACCCTTTCAACTAACTAGAATAGGCATCGTTTAAAATTTCATTTGAATTTTTTTTTCAAGAGTAAAGGTTTTAATCTTTTAATTAGTCCAACGCGATCTCTACTTTTTATATCCAATTAAAATGTTGTTTTGAAATTAATAACTTTTATTTTATCACTAATAATATTTTAGTCATAAATTTTAGTATTAATTTTATAACTTTTTAAAATACGGTGAAAGTTTACAAACAGAAGGGTTACCATAATTTATTGTTTAAACAATGAATATAATTTTTAAAATATAAAATTTTTATTATTTTCATTTTAGATACTTACATAAATGGTTTGCCCTATTAATTCTCCAAATGGTTTTGACAATAAACTTGACAGCATAACTAAATAAGTTCCAACCATAAATGATGAGGTTATAATTAAAAATGTTATTTGTTTAAATTCATCTAAATAATTGTGATCAATACTAAAATTTCGGCCGGCCAGTGCAACACAAACCATTCCTAAAGCCTGGAAATACATGAAATATAATTGGAAAATGGAATGTTATGCAGAAATAATTAAAACATGCAGAAGTATGGACATTGTCACTTAAGTTGCCAAATTGAATTATTAAAAAGCAATTAAAACCAGGGTGTTCTAACCTAACCAGTGGGTGTTGGCTATAAAAACTCGTATTAATAATTCACAGACATCGCAAACAAATTATCAAATTATTGAAACTGACAAATACAAGATCTTTAGAAATTTTTAAAATATTTTACAGCTGTCAATAAGTTGGTATTTTTTAATAGTGAAAAATTATATAGGCAATATATATAGTGAAACGGTATCAACATCAAAATCGACGCTGATAATGAAGAAAACTTTATAAACAGCTATGATGACAATAACACTGATCGTTGCATAAAATGATAACATTTATGTTGCTTCTGTGAAAATCCATCACATAGGTATTTTTATTACATAAATTTTATTATCAATAATTTTATTAAGTGTGAGGTAGATATGGATGATTAATTTAAATATAAATTAGGTTATCGTCAATTCAAATTCTTCCGAAAAAGCGTGAATGATTTATAAATAAATATAAAAAAGTATTACCGGCCAGCGTTTCTTCATAAACTCCTATAATGTACTTGACCAAGAAAGAATAAAGATGTCTGTGGTTTCTTCATTTTGCACGATCTCTTTTTTACTTTTCCTTTCACATTTGGAGAGAAAAAAATTAACAAACTTGAAGAGAGTTCGCACAAATTCGCGGGAACAGAATAGCGAATATATCGGAAACCTGTAAACTATTCGACTATTTTGCATCTTTCATTATTCTATCTATCAATTATTCTATATTCCCTGATATATTAATAATATAATTTATTTAAAATGCTTACCACTTCTAAAAGTTTTAGAACTCCAGCGAAATTTTTAAAATATAAACGATTAAACAATATATAAGTTGTTGGACCTGGTATCGCATAAACTTTTGTATCCTCAATTTCGGTTAATTGTGTATCATACGGATTTGGTTGTATAATAACATCAACTTTATTTGCCATTTTTCTATATATAACTTAATTAACAAGAAATTTTATTTAATTAAATTACTAATAGCACAATTCTTCAAATTTTCCGTCCGTTATTGTTTTTATTTATAATTATAAATTAAATATGATTTTCTTTTATTTTAGTGCGAATGATTTTGATCCGAAACTAATGTCTGATTAGATTAATATGAGCGCCAATACTGTTAATTTGTTTACTTCTGAAATATATATAGAGAGCAAAAATATCAGTTCGATTTTAAAATTTGGTTATTACCTGATTGTTGACTATATATCAGTTATTTTTCTATGAGATAATATTAATTAAAATTGATAATAGATCAGTGTCGGATTCAGGGTTTGGCATTCAGTGCGTAAAAGCCGGAATGGTAGTAAGCATGGTATAGAATTATGCATATAGAAATTAATTTTGTTGAATTGGACTCTAACACAAAGTAAACAGACACATTATGTATACCTTATGTAGCTATATACCGACTTTTTCAGCTTCATTTAAGCCTCGATTTTTTTTGTTCTTAGACAATAAACAATTGTTCTTAGACAATTGTTCACCAATAAGCAATTGTTCTTCTTTTTATAAAGATTTCGAATTTTAAAAAGTCTAGAATGCTTTTAAATTGTTAGAGCTTAATGATAAATTATGAAATTATCAACATCAGCAATATTTACAATGACTTTGGTAGTTGATAGCTAACTATATTTTCGGTTTGTTATTTCGCATAGTTTGACGTAGCGTGATGTGGTAATTTTTTATTGCTTTGTATTATAAAATAATTTTAAACAAACGACCATTGGCGTAAATAAATTTGGAATATCCGATTTAATATGTTACATGAATATTAAATTCTTTATTTATATAATGAGACAAATATTTTAACTACAACCTTCACTTTTTATATATTCGCGAAAAATGTCGATAGTATATGAAAATTTTAATTTTAAAAGTTTTAGTTATTCTTTTTATTTCGGTTTTTTTTGGTTTACCTATCTTTAAAACTTAAATGTTTACATTTAATGAAATATAAACATGAATATAATTGATCCAAAAATATTTTTGCTCTAAAAATATAAGTGAGAATATGTTTATAAAAATGAACATATTTACATTTAGAAATACATAAATGTACAGCTGTACATGAATATATTCTTACATAAGTACATTAAAGGGCTAAAAACATGACCGTAATTTGATTATTTTTATTTACATTAATATTGGCGCTTATTGTGACCAGTAAATCAATATGTGATAGTTTAATTTTCGAAACATTGAGTAGCAAATTCTTGATCGAATTTGACAAACTGTAATGCACGGATCGATCATTTATTAACTATTTAGGAAAACACGGTGTTTGTTAATTACTTGATTGCTAAAAATTTAATTTTGAAATTTAGTTCAAATTGGAAGTTCAAGATTTCAATTAACGTCGAACACACTTATGGCGCTTATATAAATAATAATCAAAGAAATACCTAATACCTATATTAAATGTGATCTCCTAAATGGTTGAAATAAATTTTGCTTTTCAAATAGTCTAGACATATGTCAAATTTTATAAGAAGGTCTAAGATAAGTCTAAAATATTAATAATCACAGCACTTTTGGGATTCCTTTTTTATACCAGTATTGTACATACATATGTCACGTTAGAATCCAAATAAGAACAACATACTTTTTATGTGTATTAAAGGTTTTTATGTGTGTTTGACAGATAATAGAATCGAATTAAGTTTAATTTGATATGATCAATTATCATGATTTTATTAACTTTTAAATAAAAAATCATTTTAAGATACATATTACACCCATGTAGAATTCCATTGGCATAATTTAAAAATTTACGTTATGAGATAACTAAATTTAGTGTTTATTAATATTTTTACGATATTGCAAATTCTAAAATTATTTTATTCTAAAATTTAGTTGGTAATTTATTGAGTGAAATATATTTTACATATTTAATAAAGTAAAACTTTATCGTAAATTTATCCCAATTACCTCAAAATCATTTATAGATGAAATTAGAGACTTTTTTCCCCACAATTTTATTTTTGTTTTATTTGTGTTGCAACAGTTTCGTTTTGTAGATGCGAAAAATAAACTTGATTTTAGTAAACAATAAAATAATGGAAAATTTTTTATTTGTACAATGATAAACTATAATAATAAAAGGTGTGTTATATGTAGGTATTGTATGTTGACAGAAAAATTGAGACACCGGTGGCGTTATGCGTGCAATAGCATTTGAGTGATAAACAGTGAATGAGTTTTTATTGTTATTGCTGAAAGATTATAATATCATAGCTTCGGTTTGCAATTTTTGAGTCGAGCGCAAGAATGGATTAAAATAATAATTTTAAAAGGCGTTTCGATTTTATGAAAGGCTAGAACGGCGGAAATATTATTATTCTTGTAAAAGTCGTAAAATTTGTAATACACTTTATAATGTTAATTAGCTGACTACTAGTAGTAACATTTTTGGTCGAAATTTAAACAAAACTGCTAAACTAATGATTTTATTTTATTTGTTTGGGTTTTCCAATTTAAAATATCTAAGTAATTTAAATAAAAATTATCTTTACGGCCTTGTTTTTGAATATTAATGTCTTGAACTGTAAACTGTTTGTATATACATGGTTTGGGAAATTCACACCCCTGATGAAAGTATACTATTAGTAAAAATTTCATAATTTAAAATTATTATAGAATTCTAGGTTTTAATTTTAATACATTTTTGATCTGTATTTGTAATTTGCATTGTTTTAACTTTTATTTGCGATCTAATTGTGAAGTAGGGATCCAAAATGTAATTTGATTTATTGCATTTGGCTTGTAAACTTTTAACTATAAATTCATCTGAGTTAATGCTTAAACGATATTCTCTCAGAGCTGCTATATGTTTTTATTTATAATATGTTGATTAAAATTATAATTAAAATGATAAGATAACAATAATTAAATCATATTGAGGCTAGACAAAAAAAAATTTAATATACGGTGCCTATTCAATAAATAAATATGGGAAGGCATTACAATGAATAGACAAGAGGGGTAAGGCTGTAAATAAATAATTGATTTTTTAATAAATCTATTATAGAGTTTATTTAATAAACTTGTAATAGTTATAATATTATTTGATTCCATCAAAACAATTCTTTGGAAAAGTGCTGTATAATAATTCGTGTGTACATTAGTTCACTTTTTTTTCAAAAACTTTGCTTCATTAAATTTATTTAAATATTTACACATTTGGTTTCTTTTTGTATGAATTTTAAAAAAATCTGGTTATTTAAATTTTGGATTCTACTTTGAATATTTTACGTATGATGAAGAATAAATGTTTAAAATATTTGTTAGGTGAGGTCATCTTTGAAATTTTGAACTATATATGAGTCATAATTAGTGTTAGCGATTTATTGTTTTTGTTTTTTTTATATTATGTTTGTTGTGTAGGTGTGAATTAATAGCATACTTCTATGTTTATTAAAAATTATATAATGGGAATTCAAAGATTAACTCGTTTTTCTTTGGTAGAAAATTTTCTTTTTTTTTTTTGATTAAATTTATTCGAGTTTCAAGATTTGTGAAATGATTTGGTTATTTTTAATTATATTTTAAATTAAATTTGTTAGTTTGTTTGAAATAGAGCAATGAGCACGAAATAAATGATTAAGCTGAAAGTATTTAAGAAGATTTTTCGTGTAATTTGCATTACAGACAGACGTTTTTTTGTTTTTGAACGATCATTCGGATGTACACGTTTGATTGTATTTTAAAAATTTTTCATATAAATTGTGTTTCAGATATGTAAATATTTTTTCATTTTTTAATTGTGTTCCCGATTTTCATATATTCATGATTTTTAAATGAATTGCGTTCCAGGCGTACATTTTTTTATGCATCAATACAATTTTTCGTATAAAATATGTTTCAGACAGGTGCTCTTTTTTTTGTATTTTCACAATTTTGTTAATTAATTGCGTATTTTGTTAATTTCTTATGTAAACTGCACTGAGTTCCAAAAAGTCGAATTTTCATGCAAATTATGTGAACTCTATTGAATATTTTGTTTAAAAATTGGATTGTAATTTTTTTCCATGAATAATGTATATAAAAATTCAAAGCTATCACATCACAGCATCCTATGAGTCTTAAAGATTTAAATTTTCCCAACTTACTGTATTAAAAATATTAATTTCTTTAACATAAAAGTTTAAAAAAGAAAATCTTAAAAACAGCTATTTAAATAAAAAAAAAACATCGCATAAAAATGGCATTAAAGTCACAGGTCAAAATATTAAAACTTCTTTTTCTAAAATAAATAGCAGTGTCGTTAGCAGTGTTCTTCTTTATAACAACCTATATAAAATTTTCCATGTTCCCATTTTCTGTTTCTTGCTTTCCTTTTTAAGGATTAACATAATTTTTTTGTGATTGTATGTGCTCGTAGTATTTATTTAAACTTTGTGATCCTATCAAAAATTTTATTATATCCTTAATTTTATGTAGACTTAAAAAAAAAACAGGACATAATAAGCATAAATTGTACTTAATATAAAATGGAAAATTTGCTTTTTTAATATTCATTTGATTTTGTTTTTAGGTAGATAGGACGACATAAGTCAAGATTTTTTTTTGGTTTCTTTTTCCTTAAATAAAATATACCTTGATATTATTTTAAATGTGTAGACAAGGACATTCTCATTAAAATATTTTAATTAAAATATTAAAAATAAGACGGGGCAAAAAAATAAAGTGAACAGCATGCACACATAAAAGGTCGTTTTAAAAATTCATCAAAGACCATACTGGGTCGAATTTTTTTGTTTTGCTCGTTTTTTTCTTGTTTCTTAAAATTTAATTTAGGAATATTATTTTTTTTTAGATCAAAATTTTGTGGCTGCGTTTAATTATAGATGTGATGTATTTTGAAATACCTATTACAATAAATGCGAAAAGATATGTGTACGTGTATTTGCAGACTCTAAGAAGTTCAAGGACTCAAGTATTTATATTGTGGGAATTTGATGTATTTAAAAAGAAGATAAATGGAATATATTAACAATATGAATGAAAAAGAACGTGCACAGATAAAGTAAAGAGTTCAAAGAAATTTTAATTAAATTTAATATTTTCCTGCTAATTTTTAGGTAATTTGTCTCATATGCAGTGGAAGATTTCAACGGCC